GCCAAGCGAAGCAACTCTATAGCTCTTGTGAGTCTATTTTCTTTCTGTTCCGGTGTAAGTTCGTTCACTTTTTGCAATTTCAATAGCTTGATCCCGAGCTCATTTTTCAATATTTGAGGAATGGAATATTGCAATATAATCAGCTCACGAGACATTTTTCGGCCACTGCGACGCGGGTTTCGATCAAGTCGCTTCTTTCTGCTGATGTTGCCGTTTTCTTCCGTCCACTTCCTTGGCGTCGGGCTACGCTACCAGTATCATGGTAACGAGCGATGATATGAGACACAAAAGATGTATTCACATTTAAATGCTGGAGTGCTCTAACAATATCCACTTGTGGTTTTCCAGCCAATTATAAAGAGATCGCTTGAATTCCATTACGAATATCTGTTTTTCTGGCGAGGATATATATATATCCTCGGTAGTCGTTTCAAGAATTCTTTACACAAATCATTAAAAATTCCCCGATATTGTCTCGATATTCCTTTAAAAGATCCACGATTTTTCGGTCCTTTAAAATATTTTTTTCAAAATTCGCGAAAATATATTTTTAGCCCTTTAAAATATTCTTTAAATATTCCGAGTTTATGGCTTCCAAGTTCTTTAGAAATCATTGACAAATTCAAGATTTTGCTGCAATGGCCTCTTTAAATAAATTCTTTAAAATTCCAAGATTTTTATTAAAAGACAGTATTAAATTTAATTACGCTCCACCATTTGAAACAAATTTGGACATCTTCAAAAATAAAAAATAGAATTCTTTTAAAATCTTAAAAATGCCGAAATAGGATGAGTTAATGTTATTTTGGGATCAATAAAATACGAAATTTAAAACAATTCCAGTGAATAGTGTGAATAGTGTCACTGAAATCAGCAAAATTCCGAATATAGGGAGGTATCGTTATATGGGGTCTATACGAAGACCTGACCGGCATAGAAAATTTTCTGTCATAGTTTGTGGCCCTATTAGGAACTTCAAATACGAAATCACAAAAATGCCCAATATAGAGAAGTAAAGTATATGGGGACAAAGAATTTTATGCTGGTCAAGAATATATATACTTTGTGGGGTCTAAAAATTATATTTCGAGATGTTACAAACGGAATGACAAACTTAATATACCCTCCATACTATGGTGGAGGATATAAAAAACGTTTGTTAAAAGTCTCAAGTGTGTTCCTTTAAAACATTTACAAAAAAATTGTTTATTTTCCATCTTTGGTCATTTAATAATATTCCTTAAAAAATTAAAGTTTAAGGTGTGGATGGTCCTCAAAAATTCTTTGAAAATCTTCAAATATGGCCCGAATATTTTAATTCATTGTAAAACCACACTTTATTCATAATGATTGTTATAGAAATCGAAATAAATGTTTTGTCTTTTATGAAACTGTTCTTCTTCTTATTCATATCTACATTTCATGGCCAGTTGTTGCGTGTCTTTTTATATGACCCGATTCGGCGGTAATTCAATTGTTTTTTATCTAATAACTGAGCAATTCTTTTCAATTGAATTTTTTTGCGACTTGTGTATGTCTGACATGCATGCATTTGATTTCGAAAAGGTATTGTTAGTTCTAACTAGGGTTTCAAATACCAATAATAATAGCAGGTTAACTAACCATAAAATTTTTGAAATGTACCGCAAAATTACAATTTTGCAATTTGTTTTTTTTTTTTTCCCCAAATGACGAAGCTTGTTCTCAAAAACTTCTAGATCATTTTAAAAATGTGCCTCTCATTTAAGAATCTTCGCGCATTCACGGTTCAATGACCCATCCCCATCACAAGATCGACAAATCATCTTATGGGTCGTTGATTTATTTGTGATCACAATCGTATTTCTTCTTTTCCATTTCCATCTTTCAAAGCAGGGAAGATGTAATGGCAGCTCTATCTGGCTTCACAAAACGAAATCAAATTAGTAACGGAATAAATTCTATGATCTGCCCCGTACACCCGTACATAACTCGACCTTCCAATTGGATTGGCTGGTTCGTGTAACAAATAAGCACAAGACTAAGAAATTAAATTCGATTTAAAGAGAGAAGGGGTACCAATGATACAATTATTGGTATTCAGACCAACATGTGTTGCTGGGGCTGAGGACGAGACCCAGCCGCCAAGCAGACACTCAAATGAATAAGAAACTGGTGGCACTTGGCACTTTATTTTTAGAATTACATATTGGAACGATGCTTTTCATAGGGACAGTGGGTGAGAGCGTGTGGGGTTGTGGGGTTGTGTCGAAGAATGCAACGCACAAATGCATTCATTATTCAGATATGCCCTCCGTTCTTGTGGCCGATTTTAATATATATTAATGAGGGGTAGGCATTCGTGAAGCAGTGGTTCGAATAAATATAATGGGAACACATGTAAGACGCTCTTCGTAACGAATTACACGTTAGACAAACAACTCCATACAAACATTGAAGACAGGTCTTCCAGCTCCTCTGCTCCTCTTTCTTCAACTAGTCTGCAGAGAAAACATTTACTTCGCCTGTAAAGATACCTTTTGTCTCGTCTATAGGGACACTCTTCGGGGGTTCTAAAAGATGTCCCATTTCTACTTTTAATTCAAAAAAATCACTGTACATTCTTTAGAAAAAAAAACCTTAATTTTTAATTATCACATCCTACAATTGATGTCTCACAATGTCTGTATATTTCTGTAACGCATTCCCATTTCGTATAATGGCTGACACCCTCAACGTATTTTCCTCTTTTGCTGTTCTTTGGAACAAAACAAACGATTTGTGGCAAAATCGTATACTTGTCTCAGGCGTTCAAGTACCATTTCCCAGTTTTTTTCTTACAAAAAAAAAAAAACGAAATGAATAGATAAAGAAGTATTAATGTAAAGCGGTGCAGAGGGGTCGGTGTTCGACAGTAAAATTAAAAGTCATTCATACAATTGTAACTCTGAGATATTTCTTGTGTTCGCGCCGTTACATTGGGCGCCATAATCATTTTGTGTGGAGGGGAGATTTTTTAATTGAAATCGAGGCGACATAAATACTCTAGCTTTGTAACGGTAATATCCGGAATAGAAATTTACAAAAAGAAATTGCAAATTCCAAGGAATGCCCTGGATAGAAACGAGGGAGGAATAAGTGCATGAAATTGAAGATTAAATTAATTTCCGGATTAGATTTGTATAATCAAACAGCACATACATACATATAATTTTATGTATGGAAAAATAATGTAGGGCACATATCTGCAACGTTTTTGAATCCCTTTATCCATGGGGTACCACTAAAATTCACTCAGTCTAAAGCAGACTCTTTGAGAAATTGGGGGCTGTATGAGACGTATGACCCAATAATAGGTAATTTCCTTGAAAATACAAAGAACCTCATTACCAAGTAATAAGTAACGTCAGCAAAAATCGTGCGAGTCCGAGAACGAAATGAAAATACGGAATGGATTATGAAAATAACACTAATAATTTTTTTCTATTAATTTGCCGAATTTTAGTCAAACGAGTAAAATACATTAAGCCCTTCACCATTTGGTAAAGAAAACATTTTTATATAAAACTATCTGAATTCAAGCGTGTTCCACTTTAAACTACATATACCAGTAAGACCGTTTGGATAATGCAGTTATACTTATCAAAAAACCATTAAGTGAGTGGGGCCGTTATACGGGTATACGGGTATCTATATAGACAACTTTATATTACAACAATTGTTATCGATTGGAGTCTTAAATACCAAATTTGAAAAAAAATCAGGATTATCAAAATACCGAATATCGGTGGATACCGTTGTATGTGCGCTATAAGAAAACATGGACCTAGAATATCTAGGTTCTAGGTTGTTCTGCCATCGGACCGAGAACCCATTATGAACTACAAATAACAATTTTTAGACAAACCCGTGGAAAAATGTGGCAAAAATCATCAAAATACTGAATATTCGGAGGTGGGGACTATACGAAAATATAGACCTATACATACAATGTTCTGCCACCCGAGCTAGAACCGTGAAAGAAATGTGGCGAAAATCATCAAAATACTAAATATCGGGATGTACCTTTATATGCCGACTATACCAAAACGTGGACAGATATACCTCGTTTTGTTGTGCCAAATTTTAAAGCTCTACGCCAAACAATGTGGGCTGTATCGTGATTTCAATAGACGGACATCGTTGAATCGACTTAGAATTTTATGCTGATCATGGGGTCTACGACGAATATTTTGGGATGTTACAAACGGAATGACAACGTTAATATACTCTTCTTTTAAGGTGGAGGGTATAAAAATAAGAAAACCACAGGCAGGCATAGAAGACATCAGGTCGTCTGTCTATAGAAAACTCAGGTCTTCTGTCTGTAGAAGAGCTTAGGTCTTCTTTCTATAGAAAACTCAGGTCTTCTGTCTGTAGAAGACCTCAGGTCTTCTTTCTATAGAAGACCCCAGGTCTTCTGTATATAGAAGTCCCCGGACCTTCTGTCTATAGAAGTCCCCGGACCTTCTGTCTATAGAAGGCCTCACTGACACATTTTTAATTAAAGAATTCACCTGATTGGTCATGTGTATATATAGAATACCACTTTTATAAATAAAATTTTTTTATAAAAAAAAAACATTTTTCGATCTATTGAAAGCTATGATTTAAATATCTAAAAAAATACAATTCAAATTCAAACTAAAGTTCCTAAAGCGGAAGTTGCTGATTTTTTCTCGCAACAAAGCCCTGGAAGACAATGCATTTGGGATGGTCATTAAATGTACTGATAAGACTTAGTTTCCAACACGCATTCAATTTCTATTCCAACTTATTTCAAACAGATAAAAAAAGTCCCCAAAAACCAGAATTGGAACAAAAGATCAATTATTGACAAGTGAAGCGGATGCAATAGAAAATTGTTTCCAACACTCCAAGGTCGTATTAACACAATGACACCACCCCTAATTATTTTCAATTTAATTCATGTGGGAATCTAATCGATTAATTTTGTTATTGTTTTTGTTGTTTCTTTTCAGCTTCAGCCATCAGTGAAATGGGAAAACGAAAAAAATTAAAATCTCGCAATAGCACGACATTGCCAGCATCGATTTTGAATAGCAGTATTGGAAGTGGTGGTGGTGGTTATTCTAAAGATCACTTGGATGCCTGGCTGGAGACATGCTTGAAAGATGCATCAACCACCCAGCTATCGTCATCATCGGAATTTCTCGATTATAATCCGACGGTAAAGACCAGCACATCTAACTCTGCAAATAATTTAAATCAGAAGAATCTCCTCTCGCAGCAGCAGCAGCAGCAATCGCCAATTTTCAATATGGCCAATATGGGTCAGCAGCAACAACAACAACAGCAAGCAATGAACTTACAGCAGCAGCAACAACAACAGCAGTTTGCCATGCGTACATCCAGTAATCCCCTCAGCAATAATCTGCCAAATACAAATAATTTTAATTTCCCATTCAGTCAGGGTTTCCAAAGGGTAAGAAAAGCATGGGAATTGTTCCGAAAAATGAAAATCCATCAATTTTCATTTTTCATATGTGAAGATTTGAGTTTCCAATCAAAACATAAATATCTAGGTTTATGGACGCGATTAGATCTGATCTAAAAGTCTGGAATAATCAAGATTTGATTTATAATTCCAACTCATATTTCCAATACTAATTTCTATCGTTTTTGCAGCCCATGCCCAACTTTATGAAACCCTCCTCGATGAATGCCTTCAACAATCGCTATTCCATGATGTTTCCATCCATGTCCACCGGAGGTTATTATCCACAAAATGATGGTTCTCAAGATTTTGCCAGCCTACCGCCAATGGTGAATATCATGGGTGGCGGCAGTGGTGGTAATTCATCGGAACATGAAAATAATTCTACAGATGTTCTAGATGGCAGTGCCAGTAACCCAAACATAAGTAGAGGGTAATATGTCTCATTCAAAACACTCACGCAAATCATTCTTATTAACTCAAAAAAAATGTTTTTCGTCACAGCTTCCGGTTCAGCGACCCATGCTTGCTGAATCCCTCAGATAATGATTCGAAAGTGAGTGGCCAAAATACACCAGATCGTCGCGCTAACCTACCCAATGACATGGATCAAAGTAATAAATTCTTTAATGTCCTGATGGAACAGATACAACTGTTGCACGAAACGAATAGCAAAATATGCCGTGACTTACATGAGGCCAAAGGTAAGTGGAATAGGATCTGTTGTTTGTGTGTGTGCGTATTTCCATCCATTCACATGCCTCGTTATTCCAAAATAGGATATACAATATGTCCTAATACCTAAATTGAAAATATTTTCAGATTCTGCAGGATTTATTAATGTAATGCATTTTCTTGAATTTATTAGATACGAAATAATGGGTTGTCCGTCCGACTTTCTGTCAGGCTGGTGCGCATGATAAGTCTCGAATGGAGTATCTGATTTGGTCGAAACTTGGTACATCGTAACAATTTTACCAAACGTAGTTCAAGTTAGGATGTTGGCAATATCGGTCCATTTCTTCTGGTGCCTCCCCCGAAGAAGGTCAATATTTTCACAAAAATTTACGGTACTATACGAGACGGGATCATTTAACATTGTGCAAAATTTGCAAATTGTAAAATAAACAATTTCGCATTAAGTACCTCCCAAACAGTGTGTCAAATTTTTGAATAATTTAGAGTCTTATAAAATGGGAAATAAGAATCCGATTATCTTCAATATTTCTATCAACGCGGGATCTGGTATGAAGTACGGATAGAACGGATCACTACTTCTGGTATCTCCACCACGAAGGGTCAACATTTTGAAAAACCATGAAGCTCATAAAATGCAAAATAAATTCCCAATTCTTCTCAAACTTCGCACATTCTAATATTTCTATTAACGCAAGATTTCAAGTACCTCCGTCATAAAGGGTCAACCTTTAAAATAAACATTACGGTCAAAAATAATAAATAAAATATATTTTATTGATTGATTTTTAAAAGAATTTTTAATGACAGAAATTAGGACCATAATAGCAAAACTTGTATGAGATCTTTAGGGAGTATACACGAGGACTATAAAGCTTGATTTTGGAAAAAAAACATTATGGACCAATACATCGACTGATATTTTAACGCAAAATCATGGATTTGTCAATCAATTGTTATAAAGAGCTCGCGGATTGTTAAAACAATTATTAAAGGATCTTATGGACAAAACTGCAAACCATAAAGTAAACTCGATTTTTATTTGATTACAAAAATACTTGAGCAAACGAGCAGAGACATTCATAAATCGGCTCGGTATGTGATTATATAGAGATCACCAGAAGAAGGTCCAAAAGATTAGTAAAAATTCATTCTGTTATGGAAAATCTGTATGGAATAGTGAGGAGGAGGTCGGATGTATAAAGAGCTTTTAAAAGTGGTTCCATATGAGATAGAAGATCCCATTATAAACGACTCATAGAAAGCTTTTCTACTTCTAAAAAACATAATTACTTCATTGAAGAATTCTAGAATTTCTATATGTGTATAGAAACATTAACATGTAGACATCTTATGTAAGATCTCCATAAAGTATATAGAGAAGATCTTCTAAGTATAAATAAGAGTATTTGCATGCAGAATTACCGACCCACGCCTTTTAGAGCAAACATTTTAATAATTGCCTATGCTAAAGTAAGAGTAAAAATGGAATATATTGGTCCACACTCTATCCACCATAATGTAAAAAAAAAACATTTATCAGAATTTAGAGGAATTTATTATGTTAGAAGAGCCTGTATGAACGTATCTCCTACAGGGTTTGAAAATTTTCCGCGGAAAATGGTGCTGAACTCAACAAAATACCGAATATCGGGAGGTACCGGAAGGATGGATGCCATTGGGAAATATATAGAGAGTGTTCTGCCGTCGAAGCTCGAGTGTTCTGCCTATCATAAGCTACAAAACCCAAATTTTAAGCGAATTCAATGGAAAATGTGGCTTACATTTTCAAAATACTGGGTAGACAATGTTCTATCATTGAATGGGTTCTATCTGGCAATTTCATCAGGAAATGAGGACGTCTAAATATCGTATATCGGGAGGTATCGTTATATGGGGGCTATATGAAAATGTGGGCCGATATCACTCACTTTCTATACTAATCATCTTCGACACAATGAAAATTAATATGCCAAATTTTTAAAGCTAAATATTATGCCTGTATCTCGATTTCACACAGACACAGACATACAGACGGACATTGTTAAATCTACTAAGAACATTATGTTTATCACGAATATATGGGGTCTCTGAGAGATATTTTTATGTGTTACAAACGGAATTAAAAATTCAACATACCTTCCCTTCCATAGCGGACTCCCTACTCTGTATTGGGGTAAGTGCGCTTTATACGGGGTAAGATGAAAAGACTGCAACCAGCTTCAGACTGCTGTCATTTCTAAGCCACTCGTCCGAAAGCTGTTAAAATTATTCCAGTGATAGCTCATTATATTGTTTACAAGCGCACAAAAGCATTTTGGTGAGAATTTTCCAGGAAAAAAAGTTATTCGTAAAGGAATTCAAGCGTAATAGTATGAATTTTTATATTTGGCTGGTAACCCACAAGTTGCTATCTTTAGAGAACTCCAGCATTTAAATGTGAATAAATTTTTTGAGTATTGTACCATCGCTCGTTACCGTGATAGTGGCAGCGTAGCTCGACGTCAAAGAAGTGGACGGAAGAAAACATCAACATCAGCTGAAATGGTTCGAAAAGTAAAGAAGCGACTTGATCGAAACCCGCGTCGCGGTTGCCGAAAAATGGCTCGTGAGCTGAACATATCGTAATATTCCATTCGGCAAATATTGAAAAATGAGCTCGGGGTAAAGCCATTGAAATTCCAAAAAAAGCAAGAACTTACACCGCATCAGAAAGAAAATAGACTCAAAAGAGCTAAAGATTTGCTTCGCTTGGGCGAAAGTGGTGAACTGCCCAATATGGTTTTCTCTGATGAGAAAACATTCGTTGTCCAGCAGTTTGTAAACAAACAAAATTATTGTGTTTAATTGCCAAAGAGGTCAGCTGAAAATGTGCACCTTCGGTTGGTCTCCAGAACTCAAGCGCCGGCCATGGTGATGGTGTGGGCTGCCATATCAGCCGATGGTCGCTCTCCGGTTGTATTAATCGACCGTGGCATATGAATAAATGCCGAATATTATCGCGAAAATATTCTGGTGGGTGTATTAAAACCTTGGGCACGCAAACACTTTGGCCGCAGATCTTGGACATTTCAACAGGCCTCAGCACCATCGCAATCAGCACGCACCACCCAAGAATGGTTACAAAATGAGGTTCCCCGCTTCATTTCCAGCCCACAATGGCCAACAAAATCCCCGGATACCAATCCGTTTGACTATTGTGTCTGGAATATTTTGGAAAGCAAGGTTGGAACTAATAAATACCAAAGTGTCGAACACCTCAAGCAAGCGCTTCGCCGGGAATGGGCCAAAATACAGCAGAGCAACAATCGGGCAGCGTGGCCATAGTTAGTGCCAAAGGACACTAATTCGAACAAATCTAAATTTATTCTAAGATTTGATGCTATTTCCGACATTTTTTGCTTTTATTCAATAGCATTAAAAAAATGTAAAAATTATGGCGTTCGACTTTGTTGCAGTTTTTTTATCTCACCGTGTATGTGTATTTCTTTTGAGGAAATAAGTTATTTTGTCTCTTTACTTTTAAAAATTAACAACTAAACCCACGGAACCTGTCAAGACTTGTTGAAGCACTAGCTGGGGAAACGTAGTGGGGGAGAGACACATTTACACACCTCAATATATATATATATCATAAGTGTAGTAAACGGAATCAGCAGACTCAAAAGAAAAATTAGTTCTTATACATTTGAACTAAAAACATAGTATGGCCGGTGAGAAGCTGCTTGAAATCTGATTCAGAAGTTAAAAGGCTTTCAAATATTTAAAATTATAACCTTGCAGAATCTGAAAATGTGTAAAAAGTTTTTTATTTAACATTTTGTTTTCATTTCATTATGTTTTTCATTCACATTTTGTATTGTAATTTATTACCTTATATCTCCATACACATTTATCTTATTAATTTTTCTTCGTTTCTGTACATATACATATATTATGTGTAATTTTCTATATTTCCTTACCAAGGTATTATCAATATACCTTAATTTCTAAAACCTTTCTTTTTGTATAACTCTACTATCTTCTTTCGGTCTTTCTCTATCTCTCAATTTATTCAATATTTCCCAAAAATATTCTTCATCTATTGCATATCATTTGTATTTCTGATTTCTTTATTGATTTGTATGTCCTTTGTCTGAAATTAAAATTATTAATTTTGTATTTTTGTTCAATTTGTTATTATTTGTCTTTTCTTTTTACATATCTTGTTTTATGTTACTCGCCTTATCTCTCCACCCAATTTCGTACATTTGATTTTGTTGGTGTTGTTACGACAACTTTTTAGTTTGTATTGAAGTTTTAAAGCACGCTCCCAATTTGGGTATGAGGCACCGTAGAGATAGCATAAGTGGATTAAGTACCCATAGTCAGCCGATGGTGTTTGGCAGTGGATTTGGAACCCAAAGTCCAGCGCCATCATATCATTCAGGTGCGTTTTTCAAATTGGTATACTATAAAGAGAGGATGCAGGGGATGCATTAAGTAAATCTTATTTTAATAACAACACCCTTCTTTGGTTGCTGTGTTAATTTCAGGTGCCTACACTCCAGGCATAATGACTGATGTGGTACGTGAGGTAAAGGAGGCGGCACGAGTCCGGGAAGATGCCCTCTTAAATCGAGTCAAAGCCTTGGTAGAGGAACGCCAATGGTCAATGAATGAATCCAATTTACGTATGATGAGAGATATTGAAGAATTGAAGGTAAGCCTAAAAATATCAAATGCAATAAATTATAACGTTTTATTTATTGTTCCCACTTACAGTCACAAGTTCATCACTTACGTTCCGATCGCAAGGAAACCAACAAACGTCTCAATCACTTGGAGGCTGAAAATAAATATATGCGCCAAATGCTGGCCGCCCTCTATCACAACCGCAATTCCGTTCCCGATATTATTTATGAAAATGAAACCTTACGTACCCGTAAATCATTTCCCCATACACGACGTAGCCATCAGCCAGCATTAAATTTACACTATGGCACCGTACATCATCAGTCGTCACAGCAAGGTACTTCGTCATTGGATGAACAGGAGGAGGAACCCCTACATATTATCGAGACACCATCGACCACATCAACCGCAGATATTGCAGCCCTTACAGGTCAAAGATCATCTGACATGCGTCATTCCTTTTCCAGTTCAGATGGTGGTAGTATTAATGGTGGAGGTGGTAGTGGTGTTGGTGGCGGTGGTGTTACAACCACAACTTCGGGTAAACTATCCGGTCCCATAATGTCTCCACCCAATTTTGCTTTAATTTCATCGGCCAGTGATGATGTGAAACGTAAAAAAGACAAAAATCCCAAGAAATTGTCCTCGGATGAGGGGGATACCGGAGATATGTTGCCAGCCATTACGAATGTTACGACAAATCAAGATCTACGCCGAGAATTAAATGAAGCTGTTATTGCCCGTAAAGAAGCTGATGATCGTATTATAGCGTGGGTTTAAATTTATCTCTTTTTGTTGATCCTTAAATGATATTTTTAGTTGCATTCTCCTATCATTTCATCAACGTTTAATACATTGAGCCAGTGTATGCGTAGGAAAATTATGCACTTTAAGTCAATTGGTACCCTGTTTTATTTCGTTTTGTTTAATATTCTATTATGCAACTAGTCTAAATTGTATTATTTGTCACAAGATATTTTTATTCGTAATTACTTAGATTTGAAATGCTTTAGTTAGAGTGGCTTAGATAAATGTAGTAATAAGTTTTATATGTATTTATTTGAGTTTTTGTTTGAAATGTTCTTGGACCTTTTAAAGAGTTGTGGTTAAAAAGTGATGCTGAACGAAATATTCCAATTTCTATCTGATATTAAATATATTGTCAATTTTTAATATGCATAATCCTGTTGGAAGAAGCAACATTACTTAAGCCTTAAAACTATTGATGAAAACCAAGGTCAATTTAAAAAGGTCATACAAAAGAAGACAAAAGTCTGAATACGTCTCAGGCGTTTTTCTTCTTTTTTTACCAAAAATCCATTAACATATACAACTTGATGAAAACCATTTATAACAATTAAGCTAATGCTCTAGTCACGTTGGGATAATTAGGTGTTACACCAACCAGACTCAATATCAAAATTAATTTTTTGTCTATCTTTCGTACTGCAATTCTTTTTACAATATCTGTTTGACCAATAATCTAGATGCTCAGCGGCAGTAATTACGTACCTATTGATTGTGCCGTGGCTCTAGTCGATGGGGCCAACAGGTGATACCCTATTGAATGAAAGCAAGACTCTCGGAAATAGCATCAAATTGTAGAATAAATTTTGATTTGTTCGAATTGGTCACTTTTGGCACGAATTATGGCCTTTAAACGGCCAATGAAACTGTCACACACTGCTCGAATATTGCTCAGTGGCAGTGTGACCAGATCTAAAATAGTGTTGCAGCTAAAACAGCATAAAAATAATGCTAAAAAATGCCAAACAAAAAAAATTAAAATGCTAAAAAATAATGCTAAATATAAATACCTTTTTTAAAACCCTGCAACACTAGGTGCAGGTGGTATTATAAGTCTGATTGGGCCACAAAATTATGTAACACTTCGAAATTTTGGCTTCCCACATAGGAAGGTATATATTGATCTTCTAATCTCGCTGAGCTAAACCGATCTAGCTATGTTAATTTGCAATCACGCTACAGGTCACAATTATAGACCAATCGACGCGGAATTTAGCATGGAATTTAGCTTTCCAATTTGGATGGTCATCGGATAATATTGAGCGAGTGAAATAAACCATAAGTTTTGTGTTAAAAAAATTGCCATTTAACCGCGAATATTCTTAATCCCGGTGAAATTACAAATAGAAAAGGTCAATTCTGACCGTTACGTATATGTCGATAGTGAAGATTTGGGATATATAGCGACATATATTCGCTAGAATACTTACATCTCAAAAATAGCTGGACTGATTTTGACAAATCTTGTCAATTCAGAATGCACTCTAGACAGGAAAGAAAAAAATCTATACAAAAACGAATGAAAAGATCAAAAAAAAAAGATGAGAATATTGATTTGGTGATATTTTCTTATATTTTTCCATTTTGTCACATTTTTGCATGGTACAATAAGGAGGTAGCTTCGTAAAACTGCAGAAATACAGCCCTGAGGCTATGCCCGCTTACTATCAGACTCGTTCAAAATTATATGCTACAAATTGTTTTCTTTTTTTCATATTTTTCCAAATTTTTAAAATGAGTCAAATAGCGCGAAAAGTGAATGAAATGTATGGATTTTCCCTCGAAAATATGATCCAAACTGTTTAATCTTTCAATTTCATGGCTAAACTGGTTAATAGCTTTAATGCGAGAGCCGCAATCTACGTGTCTTCCAATCATTGGTTTTGAAAGTATTTTGTTAAACAATAAATACATACAAAATTTTACATTTTATAATATTTTTACTCCTTACAACACTATATAGTTAGGATATTATATACAAGGCATATTTATGGCCCGATCCTCACGGAATGTTGGATGGAGATGGGGTTAGTGTCAGAATAGGAGCCTGATGTTTTTGGAGATGTTCGCAAAATATGTACAGGTTCCAATGGACCAAAAACTGAAAGTTTTCTGACACGTCATAATTATCGTCCGATCCTTAGGAAATTTTAAGTGGCGGTTCGGTATGGGCCCTACCAAGCATTTTGGATGGCCATCGGATAATAGTTAGCGGAAAAAATGGGCCCCAATTTTTGTGGGAAAAATACCAAAATGTCTAATCCACCGAAATGCTGAAAGTGAATTCCAGACAAATTAAGAAATACACGAATGGCACACTAATGATCTAATTCATATAGAGAAACCTTAATTTACAAATATTGTTCTGAATGGCCATTAGCATGACTCTTTTTTCTTAAGCTTTAATATAGTGCAAATTTTATAAAAATATGCATTACTTCGGTCCAAAGCTTGAAATTTTTTGGAGGTGACAGGTTTTTGGAAAAAAATTTGGTACCAGATCCATGAAGGTTATTCGGAAGGAGGACAATAAGGTCCAACATCTGTTTTTAAATTTTATATGATTTTATTAAAATGTATTAAGCCCTGCAACGTTGGTTGCAGTTTTTTTATCTAACTCTGAAATTGGACTACTTTAAAATCATTTCAAATATTAAAGGTTGTTCATCAATTCAAGGTCATAAGGCAATTTTCAAATGTTTGTAATTTCTGCGGAAAGTGATTTTAAGCAAAAAAAAATTCCGCGTCATTTGGTATATAATAGTGACCTTCAAAATAAAAAAAAAATTGTTTCTTGGTCTATTTCATCCCTTAAATGTTTTGCGATCAAATCCAAATCAAATCCTACCCTAACTTCATGCAAGAATTTGTAAAGTTCGAACCATAACTGTAGAGGGATTAACATAAACAGATAGACGAACACATATATGGATCGACTCAGCTCGTCGAAATAGGAGGATTGATTGATAAGGTGGGCTTGTGCCCAATAGGTGTATCTATCAAAGTAGCGAGATCCCCTCTTACTCCCTACATATCTTTCTCCTATTGTTGTAACAGAATTGGCTGAGGTGACAGCCACTGTCCGACTACAAATCGGGTCATTTCAGAGCCCAGATTGTTGTGTGAACATAGTTTGCAGCACTGTTTTCAGGCAAACCATCTACCAAGTGACTACTGAAAATTTGTTCCTTTTTTCATTTTGTCCCACATGATTCCAATCTTTTGGCCATTGTTCGATGTTAAGTCTCCAACAGATTCAATGGAAAATATCCTATTTGGTATCCAATTTTTTTTATTTTTGCTTTTATATTCGAACTGTTGCTATGGTTATGTAACTTCTCTTCTAAAGCTGAGTGATATATTTTTTTTCATTTATTTTAAACCAAAACAAAACAAACAATTCAATCAAAAACTCGTATATTTAAGTTTATAAAATCTATATAAAAATTATGTATGTTTATTCATAGCACTAGTTATTCTCATAGTTGTATTATAGTTTTAACTTCATATCATTGGCATTATTTCCTTGATGGCACTAGCAACTTTTTGAAACCTTCAATAATAATTTGAAACCTATGGCATTATTATTCGTACCTCCAATTACCTCTATTGTCTTAACAATTTGTGTAACTTGCACCATTATTTAAAATATTTTTTTTTTTGGTTTTTAAGTTGCTAATGTGTTTGTTACCACCATACCCCTCACATCTTAAATCAACCAACAACACCTCACATCCCATAACATATTACATAGATATTCTGCTTAATTCACACTCACAATCCACTTGTGTGTTTATTTAACTGACCATAGAACTGTTTCTTTCTCTTTTTTGTGTTCTATTTTTTTGATCTCAATTTTAGACTTGAGAAATTGGTTAAAACTCTACAAGTAAATGCAACTCATCCCCCATCCTCCATGGCTAATAATAACAGTAATAATAATAATAGCAATACCACGAACACCACCACAACAACAACAACCATAGAAAGTAAAACGCAAAAACCGCAATTAGCTAATGGTGAGGGTGGCAGTGTTCCTAATAAAAGTAAAACTAATAGTGGAGTAATAGCAACCAGTGGTGGCGGTCATCATCATAGTAAAACCCCTAATAGACGTTCGACAACAACCAGTAGCGCTGCTGCAACAACAACTGCTGCTACACATAAACCTAAATGGTCCACATCGACATCAGCACATCATCCAAACCATCATCATAGTAATCATCATCAGAGTGCCACAACAGCTGCCCACAGTTCTCCGGTGAAATTAAGTGTTGCTGGACCCATTACCGATTTATAGTGCGAACAACCGGTAACACCACCGGTGCGTAAACCACCCAGACGAAAAAGGTCGGGCATAAGAATATCACATTTTTGAACAACAAATACAAAAAGTTGCCAAAAAAAAAAAAACATTTGAATTTGTAGTAAATTCACTTCATAACCTTTATTGTGTAAACGAAAGCAACGAAAAAAACCGAATACACAGATAACCTAAAAAAAGAATATTTAAAAAAATATTTTGAATTTTGTGGTATATTTAAAAATACAACTAATAGAATTAACATTTCAAAAATTAGAGTGTACTACAAATTTTGTATATGTTTTTTATTATTTCCATATTAATTTGTTTGTGTAATTTAAAAAAAAAAGTTATTTGTAATGCGTAAAGTTCTTTCGTTAAACTATTTGTCACTAATTAATAAGAAAGAACTGTGTAAATAATAATATAACGAACGTACATGTAAAATAATGTCATTGCCAAAATAAACGTTTTTTTTTAGCACAAGAACGACTGAGGATTCAGGTTTTATAACTGGACTGAGGAAAGCCTAAAGGGATAAGTACATAGGAAGCTTGAAGTCATGGCTAGGCATATTTTGTGACATTTCACAAAGGGATTACAGAGCCGCACTAAAATCCAGTCGTCGTTTTCCATTATAATTTAAAATTAATATGCCTAGCCATGACTTCAAGCTTCTTATGTACTTAGCCCTTAACATACTTATTGTGAAAATTAACTATCAATTGAAATGTGTATTGTTTTATTTTTTTCTCAACAAATCTTACTCAAGATTGCAAAATAGAAAATTGATAAAACCAATGAAAAGAAATAATTTAGAGTATGAGTTGTTTTTCAAATGTACATTTATTTTGTTTAATATAATTCAAAATAAGTCGTTCTAGTTTCAAATTCTAAAATTACTAACTTGCGTGCCTACAAAACTACCACCAACTGTGGATAATTAAATTAACAACAAGTTAGAATGTATCACCATGTTTCAGTACCTCCGCTTGTTGCTTGTTTATGGGAGATGAAGTTTTATCTAACTTCAAAAGAAACATTGGCATATTGTAATTTAGAGAAATCATGGACTTTTTTAATTTGTCAAAGTTTTCCAACAAATCATCATTTGAGAAGGATGATTTAAACTGTACTAAATAAAAAAACATTTGCACAAATATTCCCAAATAAAAACCGAAAATAATTTTTTGATCATTTTTCCCTCTGACTTTTATCGAGTAACATAAAATGTCATTTTAGGCAGAAGAAATATTCTGCACAAAATTTCACTGTAAATCTCAGAACAAACCATATATATAGGTACAATCAGATACAGTAGTTTTTATAAAAATTACATTAAAAATGTATGTACTAAAAGTTAAAATTATGTCCTTGCTTTTTTGCTGTTAATTTAAATCGTATCCAATCCCGGTCAAAATATCCTTTTATATTTAATTTTTTGGGAAAAGTGCCAAAGTAAGAATCTAGATCGAATCCCGTTTAAATTATTTTTTTTAGTTTTATCCATTTCCAATTTTTGGCAAAAAAAAATGTCGATATAGGTCCACCATTTTGTACAGCTCTTTTATAATGATACACCCTGATTTTTGTTGACTACCTTAATGGTTACAATTTTCTACCAAAATATTTCTCGCATTTTTATCTGCAGGATTCCGGGGAATCTTAATCCAAAAATGTCTAAAAGTGTGGAAGTGGGGGGAATTTGTCTCCTCTATTTTGGTAACTTTTCGATGAAAATGTTCAAAACCCCGATACACTGGTCTCCTTTTTTAATTCCACTCTCATAACCTGATGAAATTTCCCCGTAATTATTTTTTGTGTTGCACAGTGTAATCTAGAATGTAATTTTCGTTTGGTGCCTCAAAAACTTCCAATACTTGTCTTGTCTTGAGATAATTCAGATTTTGCACAAGGACAGTTTAAAGTTTCCAGCGATCAATTTCTTGACTAGATTTTGCAACGAACTACATTCTTCTAAATTGTCACTCTAACAAGGATATGGTTCCGTTTTTATTCCACAAACAAATTGTCTTATTTTGTTTCTGATAAAATTTTCCACAAAACTTTTAAATTTCATGTTTTCGTACTACATGCTTGGTACGACTAACATACGAATCTATGTTATTTTATTAAACTGATCTTACCAAGAGTTCTTAACGTTTCCATGTTGTTAACTGTTCTTCTGATGCACTCGATCTTCCGATCTCGATCTGTTCAAATAAAATTGTAGGCCATTGATTTTTTAATTAAAGTAAAAAACAGTTCTTGATGTATTATTTACGCAGTTCTTTCAATGTACATTATATGACTCGTATTGTTTGTATTTTTTTTGTCTATTGTAACATAAATGTAATAAAAACAATGTAACGTACATAATCAAAATTGTTCTAATATTCCTTAAATATTTACATTACTGAAACACAACACGAACAAAAACACACACTAAAATCGAACAAATTTAGATTTCAGGGAGGCAGGTAAAATGCAGGTAATGTAATTCTCATTTTATTAAGAAGTTTAAGAAGCTACTTCCGAATTTATGGATCTTATACAAGCTGATACCACTTGAATTGATCCTACGCAAAATGGAAATATAAAGCCAGCATTGCTTTGAAACTTCCCTCCTCTACACACTAGCTATTGAATATTACTATTTTGAGAAATATGTAGCCAGTCTATAAGGGTAATTAATGAAACATAATAATATTATTAACAATAAGAATAGTAATTAAATTAGTGATTAAAGTAATAAAAGTAATAAGGATATCGAATATAGAAACGTTAAAAACTTATCATCGTAAATTCGAGTTTTATTATAAAATGTTTTATAGAAAAGTAATTTGTTATTGAAATAGTAATATTTCTGTATTAATATGAAATTGTGCGATGGTTTGGCCGAAACACGGTTTAGTTTTTATTCTTAACACCATTACTACAATATATATCCCATTATATGTATTGAGAAATTATATATTTTTAAGTGCCATTTCATAAAAAAACTATATTGAAAATCATAAATCAAAATAAATATTTTCATTTTAACAAAAAAAAAAAATAATAATAATAAAAAGTGTACTTTTTATTTATGTATGCAGTTTATGTGGGAGCAAAGTGCCAACACCATCAAAAACCACAAAAAATAATTGAAATAAACTCCTTTGGTTTTCAGAAATTTCATTGCCGATTTTTTACACTCGAAAAGAATAACGAATTTTGACGAATGTTTAAACATGACGACAAACTCCAAGTATAGAGGGAGAGTTAACAAGTTAAAAAGCAGTATGTTCGGCCGGGCCAAACTTCGAATACTCTCCACCATTTGGAACGAATTTGGATCTTTTCAAAAAAAATCCATTAACAATTCTGTTCTTCTGTTGCACTCGATCTTCCGATCTCGATCTGTTCAAATAAAATTGTAGGCCATTGATTTTTTAATTAAAGTAAAAAACAGTTCTTGATGTATTATTTACGCAGTTCTTTCAATGTACATTATATGACTCGTATTGTTTGTATTTTTTTTGTCTATTGTAACATAAATGTAATAAAAACAATGTAACGTACATAATCAAAATTGTTCTAATATTCCTTAAATATTTACATTACTGAAACACAACACGAACAAAAACACACACTAAAATCGAACAAATTTAGATTTCAGGGAGGCAGGTAAAATGCAGGTAATGTAATTCTCATTTTATTAAGAAGTTTAAGAAGCTACTTCCGAATTTATGGATCTTATACAAGCTGATACCACTTGAATTGATCCTACGCAAAATGGAAATATAAAGCCAGCATTGCTTTGAAACTTCCCTCCTCTACACACTAGCTATTGAATATTACTATTTTGAGAAATATGTAGCCAGTCTATAAGGGTAATTAATGAAACATAATAATATTATTAACAATAAGAATAGTAATTAAATTAGTGATTAAAGTAATAAAAGTAATAAGGATATCGAATATAGAAACGTTAAAAACTTATCATCGTAAATTCGAGTTTTATTATAAAATGTTTTATAGAAAAGTAATTTGTTATTGAAATAGTAATATTTCTGTATTAATATGAAATTGTGCGATGGTTTGGCCGAAACACGGTTTAGTTTTTATTCTTAACACCATTACTACAATATATATCCCATTATATGTATTGAGAAATTATATATTTTTAAGTGCCATTTCATAAAAAAACTATATTGAAAATCATAAATCAAAATAAATATTTTCATTTTAACAAAAAAAAAAATAATAATAATAAAAAGTGTACTTTTTATTTATGTATGCAGTTTATGTGGGAGCAAAGTGCCAACACCATCAAAAACCACAAAAAATAATTGAAATAAACTCCTTTGGTTTTCAGAAATTTCATTGCCGATTTTTTACACTCGAAAAGAATAACGAATTTTGACGAATGTTTAAACATGACGACAAACTCCAAGTATAGAGGGAGAGTTAACAAGTTAAAAAGCAGTATGTTCGGCCGGGCCAAACTTCGAATACTCTCCACCATTTGGAACGAATTTGGATCTTTTCAAAAAAAATCCATTAACAATTCTGTTAAAATCTTAAAAATACGGGGTCTATACGACGTGGACCTACATAGGCATTGTTTGTTATAAACCATTACCATATTCAAATTCGAAACTTGAAATAAACGGTAAATAATGTAGCTAAAATCAACAAAATAACGTATATAGGGAGGTACCGTTATATCGGAGCTATACGAAGACCTGCATAGGCAATTTTCTGTCACAGACTGTAGTTCCCATTACGAACTCTACATACGTAATTTGAAACTAATCCGGTGAATAATGTCGCTAAAATTATCAAAATAGCGAATATCGGAGGTACTACTATTGGGGGGCTATATGAAAACGTGGACCTACATGGCCCATTTACGAATATAACCTACTGGCAAAATAAACATGTGTGCAAAATGTTACCGTTCTATCTCAATTCGTTCCAAAGATAGCGTGATTAAGACAGACAGAAAGACGGACGATGCTAAATCGTCTTAGAATTTTACGCTGATTGAGAATATATATACTTTGTTGGGTCTGACATGAGTATTTCCAGGAGTTACAAACGGAATGACAAAGTTAATATACCCTCCATAGTATGGTGGAGGGTATAAAAAATCGGGCAGTAGAATTTATGGGATAATACGAAAACAATATTTATATTTTGTATAGGTATTATTGCCCACTTTAAAGCTAAAGCACTTCATACCATATTATAGTTTTTGTGTAATCAAGCATTTCTATCCAGATGTGATAAACTAATTCAGGAGAACCATTTTATAGCATTTTAACAAAAGCGCTGATTTATCAACTATATAGAAAGTTCAACTAACCTTTTGTAAGCCAACACAAATTTCAAGTGCGTTTTATCTTTGCCACTACATTTTACAATTTATCTTCACGTTTGCACGCTTAATTATCACCAAATACGTAGAATTTTTAAGTCAGAATTAATTATTAATCTGAAAAATTATACATATACATACATTTTTATTTTATTCACATACACGGTACGTAAAATTCGATCTCCTTGATCTCCGTTTGCACGCTTAATAATCACCAAACATGTTGAATTTTTAAGTCAGATTTAATTATTAATCTAAAAAATAATACATATACATTTTTATTTTATTCACATACACGGTACGTAAGATTCGATCTCCTTGAGATTTGTTATAACACATGTATACACCACATAAATAATGGAAACTAAATATGCATCTTCTTCTTTTTAAACGTAGCCTTTTGACACAATTCCGAAACTTCGTTGTTTTCTCTTTTATCCGCGGTGTCCTTTGTTTTCGGTGCCGCTGGGCATATACTGCAATTGAGACATTTTACACATTTCGGTCTTAGAGGCGTACAAATGGTTTGACCAAATCCCACTAACAAATAATTAACCTCCTGCCACAAATCACGAGGCAACCAATTCTCTAGGGCTTTTCGTGTTTCCTCAGGTTCTTTTGTTGGTTTTGGCAACCATCGCAAACGATTACAGATACGATGAACATGAACATCAACACCTATGCCCGTGGTAATATCCCATGCTGTTGCCATACAAATGTGAGCCATTTTCGGTCCAACACCAGGTAGAGCCACGAGTTCTTTTATATTATTCGGAATGTCGGAATTGTATTTTTCAATGAGTATTTTAGATGTTTGTTGTAAATATTTTGCTTTGTTCTGAAAGTTCAAAAGATTTGTAGGAAGAAGTAATGGTGACATTTTCTTGAGGATATTTTATTACCTTATAAAATGATACCGGATGCAATATATTTTCCAGAACATTTAACTTAATTTCACATATAGACTCTGGAGTTAAGGTATGCTCTCTCAAACGCAGCATAGCATGATAGGTGGTGTCATCTTTCGTCTGGCTGGATAACATTAGGGCTACCAGTTTGTGAAAACGTTGTGTCTGTAAATATTAATGTTTAGTGAAAAGTAAACTGTATAAAACACAAGCAAGATTTTGTATTAAGTTGTAAATTGTTTCATATTTTATTCGTGAATTTTATCTTTTCCAATTAACCCCATTACCTTAGTTATTTGAGATTCATCAGCGGATTGGTTAATAATAAAGCAATAAGTGTTTATTACGCGAAAAATGTACACTTCGAGTACAAAATTACAAGTAAAGGTTTCTGCAATCGCAGAGGATCGCCATGTCGATTACTAACTAGCAAATATTCCAATGATAGAAAGCGTAAAGCAAGGAGAGCAAACTCAACAACCACTGAACGTTGACATCTGGAGACTAGGGTCTCCGCCTACTGGTGTCAGTCAGCACTGGACTTGGGAAGTTGAGGTGGAACGTATCAAACTTATACACAGAATATATATATTCGTCTTGCTACGAATTCCCTTGGTCCGTGCCAGTCGTCAAAAGCCCTTCTGTTCGGTTTGTCAAAACGCCATCAACTCTTTCTCAAGGAAATGTAATAGATACAAGTAGAATAGACATTACAGTACTATATATAAAGGGAATATGCATTATTTTCATTTGGAAGGCAAATAAATTAAATAATGTAATTTTTCAGAGAATGCGCTAGAGAAATGCTCAAAACTCATCCAACTGAGTTGTAGAGGGAAGTTCGCCTATGTTGTGTGATATTTCACGATCTGTAAACCATATAATTTTGTAGAAGAATACATGTTTCAGAGGTCATAAATGAATGAAGAATATCTACAGAAAATATACATTATTTAATAAAAAAAAAGGTTCTTTCACTTTTTGTTTTATGAGGATACAATTTTATGGTACTTTAACAAGAAGAATTTCATTTATATATAGAACATAATTTCATTTCATTTATTTACCTTACAAAGAAATATAAATAAGCCCACAGGGCCCATAACTTATATTATCTATCTACAATACCCTAACATAATACAAATTCAATGATTAATTCAAACTTAACAAATAACAAATTAAACCTAATAATTTATCTTAATAATTCACGAGAATTACCATCACCAACTAAACAATAATCTAGTAGAGCAGTGAAAAAGTGTAGCAGAAACGAGCTAAAAATAAGAAAGAACTATTTTATTACTCACAAAACAGAGTATAAATAGTAACTCACATTATACCCTACAAATTTAATTACCTTTTCATCTGCATTTTCATCGGCACATTTATGACAACCCATGGTATCAACAGGTGCCTTATCCTTTGAACGCATTATACGAATATTTTCTAAAATCGTTTTCCAATTTTCTGGTTCCCATTTGTCGGCAATTTCCTCTTTGCATGTTTCGGGGTTTTCCTGTGGAGTTTTTTTTGTGACCTTCTTATTTTTAACTGACTTATTAGTGTCAGTTTCTAATACGTTTGAAGTCGATGGTACATCAACACTGTGTTCTGTTTTTATTTCATCTTTAATTTCATTATTGGAACTTTTCTTTGTTGACTTTTTACGGCTTTTAACGACTTCTTTTCCACATAAAGCTGAGGTAGATGGTACTTCAACATTATGTTGACGCTTTATTAGAAAACTTGTAGCATTGGGTAGAACTTCCAGTGGACTCTCTTCGATTAAATCCTTTTCCGCCTTGTTTCTGGAAATTCTTTTGGGCTCCTTAGTTTTCACATCTATTACATCTTTTGGGATTGCATTAATTTTATTAGTTGTTGACTCTTTTCCTATTGAATCTTTCAAATCATTTTTATTCTTAGATGATCTCTTCAAGTTCGATTTTGTATTTGCCTTAATTTCGGTGGTGAGGTTAGAACTTGTTCCCTGAAATATAAAACGAATATAAATTAATTTAAAAACATTAAGGTAACATAAATATTAGTTAAAACTTAATTTAGATTTGCAATTTATTTAGGAGGACTACATTAGTTTCGGTTAAATATTTAATTTATTTTTTGTTGCAGTCATATCGGTGTGTATTTTGCTGCTAATCGGGATCTGATTCTAAACCATAAAATTCAGTAACTTCAATGTAACCATAAAGATTTCAAATGGGTAGGGTATTTTTTGGCAGGGTAACTTTCAATTCCAGTGCATCATCCTAAACGTTTTGTCTAGACATTCAAGATTTCTATTCCAGTTTGATAGTGACATTTAAACTGAATCGACGAGCTTTTACTTTAAAATATCCCTGAAGATGATTTTCGGATAAAATAAAAATATTGCATAAATAAAAAAGGAAAAATTCAAAAATAAGCAAGTTAAAAGCAGTTAAGTTCGAAGGCCGAACTTTTAATACCATCCACCATTTGAAAAGAACTTGAAAATTAAAAAAAAAAGAAATACGAAAACTACCACTTAATTGAAAACCATTATATGGAGACTATACGAAGACGTTAAGCTGCTTACAAAATTTATTGTCATATGCTGTAGTACCCATTACAAACTTCAAATACGAAATTTAAAACAGTTCCAGTGAATTATGTGGCTAGAATCGGTAAAATATGGAATATATAGAGGTACCCATGGTACAATGAAGAGAAGGTAGGTCAACTTTGAAAAAATTGCAAGTATAGAGGTCTACCTGTTTGGCTTGTAATGTCAGAATTAGTATCAAAACAATAAAAAATCAAACAACTTGTTGCATTTATTTTGAATAAATAATTGAAAACCGCGATAATTAAATAAAAGGTCAACACTTCTTTTCAAAATCATGTACTATATATCTCTAAAGGATTATTTCGCTACAAAAACTCTAGATTTTGTCGATGCATACGTTGAAATAAACATTTTGAAAACACTCGAATTTGAATGTTATCTGAACAATTTTTTTTGTTATTGAAAAGAAAACACATACATAAGCAAATAAAGATGACATATTAAGCCAAGAAAATAAAAAAATTAAAATCATATGGTAGTTCTGCCCTACCTTGATATCATTGTACCATGGAGGTACCGTTATATGGGGGATATACGAAAACGTAACTTAAAGCATACGAAATTTTTTGTCATAGTACCCAGTACCCATTGCGAACTTTAAATACGATATGTGTTACAATTCCGGCGAATAATGTTGCTGAAATCATCAAAATACTGCGACGTTTTATACGATATTGATTTATGACATCTATGGCTGCACAATACAAACCCACTTTTCATTTAAGAATGAGTTTTTATACAATGAACGCGCTGATCTCGGACCAATCTGCTGGAACGTTGACATATTCAAACAGCTGTAACTGACTTACGTCTTGGAGTCTTACTGGTACCTTCCTCGCAGAGGCACTCAATTTTTTGGCCAATGTTTGTTTAGATTGATTGGTGCTCATAGTTCTCAGCGCAAATGAAATCGTTTTTCGAAACATACATCTCATACATCTCTCTTCTGTCCTGTTGTTGTGTTGCTGAACAGAACGGATGCGGAGCGATTGGGAAACGAAGCGAATATAAAAGCCAAAAAGGAATACTTGATAAAAAATGAACAGAAAGAAAAAAAGAGGGACCTCTGTTGTTTACGAATGAGACGAAGGAGACATGAGGAAAACTGAACACATTCACTGAAAGAGCGCAGAACTAGCTACAAATTAAACAGGAGGATGTTTCATAGTTGACAGCCGATGCACGCCATCTATACTAAAACTCGCCGTTTTACGAATAGAAGAATAAGCAATATAACAAAATGTGTGATTTATTTGTACAGTTTTTGTATAGACCGTCGGTCAAACAACAACTTTTGAGGTTTACGAACAAAACCCATTCATGTTGCGTTCAGACAACGGCTATATTCGTGTTTTGATAGCATAGTAGAAGAATATAGGTAGACGCTTCGACACAGCTGCTGGGACAATGAACTGTCAAACCAATTTTGGAATCGAAATTGTTGAATGAAAAATTTGTAAATATTGTTAAAAAATTCATATTATAACAACCTCCGATTGGCGTCGTGTAGACAAACATATACAAATATACTTATTTTTGAAGAAATATTTAAAAAAATTTGACATATCAATGTTCCCAAGCGCTGATGCATCTACCCATGGTACAATGAAGAGAAGGTAGGTCAACTTTGAAAAAATGTCAAGTATAGAGGTCTACCTGTTTGGCTTCTAATGTCAAAATTACTATCAAAACAACAAAAAAGCAAACAACTTGTTGAATTGATTTTGAATAAATAATTTAAAACCGCGAAAACTGAATGAATGGTCAAAATTTCTTTTCAATATCATGTTCTATATATCTCTTATGGTTTATTTCGCGACAAAAACTGTAGATTTTGTCGATGCATTCGTTGCAATAAGCATTTTGAAAACACCCGAATTTGAATATTTTCTGAACAATTTTTTATTATTGAAAAAAAGACACACACATAAGCAAATGAAGTTGACATATTAAGCCAGAAAAATAAAAAAATTTAAATCATATTGTAGTTCTGCCCTACCTTGAATTCATTGTAACATGCATCTACCTGTATTTTTCTACCATGTTTGATAGCTATAAAGTATGTGCGATTTTTCTAGTTTACAATAAAGTTAACTTTCCTGTGCAAATTTCACAAAAAGTTATTGATCGACATTCATCTTGCAAGAATACAGCTATTTCGAACAATAAATGGGTTGTACTTTCAAATTGTTGAGACAATGAAATCGTATTGCAGTCTTAGTTTTTAACATATATTATTTAATGGTATCGTATAAAAAATATATAAAAATGTGCTTATTTTTGACAAATCAATTTTAAAATTTTGACATATCAATGTTCGCAAGCGTTGATGCATCTACCTATATTCTTCTACCATGGGTATAATACAATGTTAAATACTTATTATCTGAAAAAATAACTTAAATATGTAAAGTATTGCCTAAAAGTTGTAAACATTTTAGCATCTGCCACAATGCTTATCCTTCAACTGATATTAATGAATGAATTTTAATGAGTACATTTTTCAAGTAAAATTATGCAAGCTCGCTAGCGCGTTTAGATACAAATTTTGTTTCGGATTAACCCACATTTTCAGGATTTATTGCTTAAACTTAATATAAAATAAACGATGAATGTTATCCATTTTTTTTAAATACATTTTACTACTATTGCCAAATTATCAATATAAAATATGGCAACATGAATTCAGTAAACTTTACGTTACAAGATAAAGGGAAGAAGGTCTGACTTTTTGCTTATCGGACAGTTCATACTCCAATGAAACATGTAATAATGAAAAGCGATTTATGTGTACGACAACATCATTGTTTTAACTATCGGAAAGATGTAATAACCGGCCTAGATCTTTTTAACTAAGTGGGTATGCCTGGTTACATTAAAATTGTGATTCTGAAAGTCGTGTGTTAAATTCAACAAAAGAGAGATACATTTTGACAGTTCTTTTACTCAGAGTTTACAAATCTTCCGTACAAATTTCTTCTTGCAATCACATTAATTTCAGCTTGGCAATCAATTTTAAAACGTCTTTATTTTGGAAATCGCTAGTCTTTTTCGACTCGTTTTCTTCCGTGTTTTATTATACCCTACGCCACAAGGTGGTCAGGGTATTATGTCTTTGTGCATTTGTTTGTAACATGCAAAAGGAAACGAGATGGACACATAGTTCCTTTTGATGATCTGCATAGAATCCGTCTGTCCATGTATTTTTGTAAACAAAGTACAGGTCACATTTATTGTCCGAACCAGATGAAGTTTTGCAGAAATAGTTTGTTGGACCCAACGACGTGTAATATTAGCCCAAACATTATGGAATTCTGCACATACAACCAGATTAGGTCTGAAAATTAGTATGCCAAAATTTATCGAAATCGGTTCAGATATAGCTATAGCTCCCATATATATTGTTCATCCGATTAGTTATTTTTGTCCTCCGCAGCCGTAATATGCACTCTGTAACAACGATTTTTTGGGGAAAAATACCAAATACAAAACATAAATACCTTTTCTAAATTTTATCGAGATCGGTTCAGATTTGGATATAGCTCCCATATATATACCTTCATATCAAATACAGCTCAGAAATACATTTGCCAAATTTTATCGAGATCGATTAAAATTTGGATATAGCTCTCATATATATCTTTATCCGATTTGAAGTTAATTGTACACCAAATGGGTAATACAAGCCCAATTTGGGAAGACACAAATGCCTCGGCAAATTTAGTAGAAATCGATTCAGAGGAGGATATTCCTTTGGACTTTAAATTTAACTATAATCGTAGATGGTATGATTTAATTCTCAAATAATTCCCAGTAAAAATTTTATTTGTTATGTGAAGCTCTACTAAATATGCAAAGTTGTGTCGAGTATGTAGAACGACCCTCCTTTGAATTGTGCTGCTTTTTGTGTAAGGGAGTAGCAAGTAGGAAATTTGGAAGATACATGCACGTAAGGAACAGAACTAAATTTAGAAGTTTTAGAAGTCCGAAATATAACATCAACTGTAATTATAGACTAAGTACTTTTATTAGTCTATGGCCAAGTGTTCCTTAAAAGAATCTGTGTAATGGGATATGCTCATAAAATGAGCTGCCTTAGCATATGCTTCAAATAAAATTTAATATCATGTATATTTTTACAGTTTGGTATCATAAAAATCTCTTCCATAATATTTTCAAAATATTAGCAATATTTCAAATTAAATACACATTTGCGTAGCTCAATTAATTTGTTATATGAAACTGTGAAATGACAACAAGTATAAAGAAAAAAAAATCAAAGTAAACTTTTTTTAAAAGAAATGTTTAGTGAAAGCTTTTATAAAGATATGAAATGTCAAAGAAAAAAAGTAAAGAAAATATTATTAATTTTAAATTTTTATAGGCTGGTCTTCATTATCACCTATCAGCCTTTCAATGGCCAACGAGAAGTTTTACTCTTTAATGACGAGGTCCAAAATTTTTCGGCTAAACGTATCTTCGTGTCTGCTTCTAATAAACTCAAACAGCCGAAATTGCACACACAAAACAAAATGTCTTCGGTCATGTCTTCGGCACGAAAATTGTTATCAAATACTCATTCTATTGTAGTATTAGTCGTAACGAATATTCAAATAAAAAGGGGCCCTGAAATCACATTTTAGTCGAGTAGTGAAAGTCGTCGCAAAGCAACAGTTACCTAAAACGGTTTAAACCGCTTTCGTTTGGTTGTATAATAACACAATTAAAAAAAAATATTTTTAATCCTTAAGGATTCAAAATGTTAACATATTTGTTATTGGTGTCTTGTACGACTCTTTTCGTATACGGTTTATACAAATATGCTGTGTCGAAACCAAAAGGATTTCCACCCGGTAATAATAATTAAGATAAAAAGCAGAAAAAAAAAACATTGGTGAGAAGTTTACCCTATCCCGATTGGGATGTTTATGGTAATCACTGATGTTAAATAATTTGTTTTTTAAGTATCAATGTGTGGAAGGTTTATGTGTGCGAATTTATAATTGGTTATAGATTTTAACCAATCCATTGAATGCAAACGAAGAAACTACAAAAGCGAAAAAAACTACGACTTATTTTGATTTTTTTTTTGAAAAAATAAAAAAAAATCCCAGCTCACATAATAATAAAGGAAAATGGAAAATAAAATATAATATATACAATTATTTTGATTTCTCAGATTGAGAAGAACCGTGAGTTAGCTCTCATTGATGTTTAAGAGAAAGTGTGAAAGCGTTTATCAGATTGAGAAGAATCGTTAGATAGTTCTCATTGATATTTTAGAGAAAGTGTGGAAATATAATATATCGCATAATTTGTAGTCTCTGTATATTTAAAAGATAATGTTCGCACAGGACATTTAGAAAAATAGTGTATTTTTTTAATATTTCGGTTACAGCAATTATTATTGGCAAAACTAAAAACAAATATTTTAAAGTGTGAAAAAAATGAAACCATTTAAATATTAAAATGCTAGTAACACAAAAATGAAATTTGTATTCACGAGTTTGCAATCATTTGGGGAAATCTTAATTAATTTATTATTTTAAGAACTTCTACAGGTGACAGGATAAGTCAGATATAGGCGTTTTGAAATGACTTTAGGAATTGCAACAATTTGAATAAAAAAGTAATTTTTGTGTTATTAATTTTTTTGAATATTTAAAGTGAAAAATTAAGTGTGTTGGCAAATTGAAAATCTAATTCATTGTCTGAAATTTGACTTGAGTCCTGTCTTGTGTGAACGGTGGAAGAGCAATTAGCAATGCAAATTATCCTCCAATACATATTTTTAGTGAAAATATAAAATAAAACTAGTCAAGGATATAACAAAATCAAAGATACATAGAAAAAAATTGAAACCTTTTTTCTAAATTTGTGAAAAAGTATTATTGTACAAAGGATACAATCATGGCAGCTTATTGAATAAAGTGAAAACTTCGTGTTTTGTTTCTTATTGCCATTTTCTGTTTTTTATATTTGTGAATCTTGAAATTATTAAGCTTGTTATGTTTGCGCCTGAGTTCTTAAAATAAATTATATTTCAAAATACATAAATTGGAATTCATTCCATAAAAAATAATTTGAATGAAAAAAATTTTAATCTTGCAGATTTCATATTCAATGGCGTATTTTTATGGTGTCCTTACGACGAAAAAAGGTGAGGGTACATAAGCAGCTTGGCATATTAAGGTCAAATTATAATAGGGAACGACATCACGATTTGGGTGCGGCTCTGACATCCCTTTATGATACGTGAAAAATACGCCATGCGAAGACTTCAAGCTGCTTATGTACCTACACCTTAAAACAATGTGTTTTGGTCTGCTAGATGCTAAGCGATCCGTGTGTGATATATCAATAGTCAGCGAAAGCAAACAATTGATTAATAATGCCAGAACGAATTGTTTATCGGTTCATGGCTGCTCGTGGCTCGTATAAATTTAAATTTCCGTAAAATGGTGTTTTTAGCAAGGCTAATAGCAACAATTATAATCTAATTCACCAATACAAATTAATTCGCCATTTAATTTTGCACACTGCGCTCATGTGTGATTTTCAAAAAAAAAAAAGAGAGAGAGAGACAAAACCGTTTGTTGAGTCCCATACCATGACCCATTACAAATACCACGGAAGGCCCAACTACCTGTTTGAATTTAAAATATGCAGAATTTTGTAAGACATTAAAAATATTTTTTTATTCCGGAGAATAAAGTCAGTATTGTATTCATCTTCTCCTCCAGTGAGACCCGTTCCGTTGATCGTGGCATGGTTAATTTCTCCATGGATAAAAAGAACCCCGAAACCCCAATAATAAAATTCATAAAAACACATGTGATCAACTTTTGTGTGAAAAAACTCGTTACCTAACCAACTGATCGAAGAAAAACAGCTGATCGAAGAAACAACAAAATAAATGTGCAAAATTTTACAGGACATAGGTTTTGTTTTGGTACAATAAAATAGTAAAACAGGTTCGTTAAACTATTAAAAAAATATGATCCGAACTGTTCGATATTTTTAAAGCAATAAATGCACACAATACATTAACAGAAATTGGGCACATTAAGAAAAAAATGTAATCAGCTTCTAGCGCTAACATACTCTTTTATTCTACCATGTTATCAGCTGATGTGCCAGTGCAAAGAAAAAGGCTAAAAGTTTACTGGACAAATTTCTTCCAGTAAAATCCAGTAACTCTCAGTAAACAAATATCAACATTTCTCTTTTGATTCACTCTTATTTACTGGACTTTTGGGTTAAGAGACAACATCCAGTAAATTTGCCTAACAATCGAGTAATCAATCTCAATAATATTCCTTTGATATCTCTCAACAAAGAATACACAAGCCCCTTGCATGAACCATATCAGCACGCCCATTTAGAAACAAAACAAATTTGTTTTGGTTTTCTTCGATGTTTAATCATTAAAAGTGTGGAGTGTGGCTAAACAGTAGCAATAACAATTATCAAAATATTAACAATGATCCCAAACACGCTTTCTCACACTCGCTCTCACGCCGCCTTCTTGTCTGCATGTATTTTAACTAACAATGAGTACACATTTATTTCGGCATATGTGTACGAAAATAAAAAACAAACCTATATCAACATTTTTTATATTGTGGAAAGTTTTATTCATAGAATATTTTTGATAACAACCACGTTCGCAAAGCTTTCGTATCTTGTTTGAAAGTAGCTGTATTTCATACCTCCCGATACGAATCCTATACGAGTATTTCATGGTGTGAATGCAGCTCTGGCATTACTTTATTATATGTCACAAAATATGCCATGCGATGACTTCAAGCTGCATGTGTACTCACACCTTTAATAAATGTTTGAAAGCTGTTTTTTGCTTCAACATGCTTCCGCAAAAAAAATCGAGAGCTTTCAATACGCAAAAAGTGCAAATGACTACTGATATTTGGCGGTCAAAATACGTTATTGTGATTTGATTTCAAATTAAAAATGGCAAAATTTTGTTCGAAATATTGCATTTGTTACCGCAATATAATTGGCATTAAATTGCTAATATTTTCATTTATTCGCGTCCTTCGCAAGCTGTTTATAGATCCTATAAGAAACATTTGCCTTTAAGAAAGGTATTTTACCTTTGAAATAAATATGAAAAAATGCAACTCTGTAGCAAAGTCGAGTTTTCGACAAAATTGTATTAAATATCTCTTTTATCCCATCTCTGATTTGACAAAGTGATGCTGTCAACATATGATTGCATAAAACTTCCTTCCCAATTGACCATAGAAAAAGCCAATAGTTTTTCACATTAAATTAAAAAAAAGGAATATGTAAACGGTACCAAATATAATTTATGACTTTTAATTCATGATTTGACTACGTAACACTAAGAAAAGCTGTCTTATCTTTTGTTATCCCAGGGCAAGACAATGAATACTAATATATAGTTTTATTTTACAACTTTTAGTTGTAAAGTTGTAGCCTGCTAGCTTCTGATAGTATAAGTGTTTTATGACATACTGATTGCCAAAACACTTGTTCCACAATTATTGCTAAAAATCAATTAAACCTCATTTAAAAAATGTGCATGTCTATTATTTGACGATTTCAAAGTTGATGTGAACGATATTTTTTTCAGAAAAGCTAAAAGTAAGTTTTCATACATAATCTCTACCTGGGTTAACCCTGACAATTTACAATCACAATAAATATAATAACATAGCAATATAAAATATACAGAGTGAGATAAAAAACTGCAACAAATTCAAACGGAATAATTTTTACATTTTTTTTTAATTTTATTGAATGAAAGCAAAAAATGTCGGAAATAGCTTCAAATTTTAGTATAAGTTTAGATTGGTTCGAATTGGTCACCTTTGGTACGAATTATGGCCTTCAAACTGCGAAAGAAGCCGTTACACGTTGCCCGAATGTTGCTCTGCGTTATTTTGGCCCATATCCGGCGAAGCCCTTGCTTGAGGTGATCGAAACTTTGGTATTTTTTAGTGTCAACCTTGCTTTCCAGACACAATAGTCCAACGGATTGCTATCCGCAGATTTTGGTGGCCATTGTGCGCTGGAAATGAAGCGAGGAACCTTATTTTGTAACCATTTTTGGTGCTGAGTCCTGTTGGAATGTCCAAGGCCTACGGCCAAAATAAATGTTGTGTCTAAGGTTCTGGTGGCCAACCGAAGGTGCACATTTTCAACTGACCTCTTTGGGAAGTAAACACGATTATTTTGTTTGTTTACAAACTGTTGGGCAACGATTGTTTTCTCATCGGAGGAAGCCAAATTCGGCAGTTAACACTTTCGGCCAAGCGAAGCAACTTTTTAGCTCTTTTCTATTTTCTTTCTGTTCCGGTGTAATTTCTAGCAATTTTTGGAATTTCAATGGCTTACCCCGAGCTCATTTTTCAATGTTTGCCGAATGGAATATTGCGATATGTTTAGCTCACGAGCCATTTTTCGGCCACTGCGACGCAAGTTTCGATCAAGTCGCTTCTTTACTTTTCAAACCATTTCTGCTGATGTTGCTGTTTTCTTTATTTATTCACATTTAAATGCTGGAGTGCTTTAAGAAATCACACTATCACGCTTGAATTCGATCACGAACAACTTTTTTCTGGAAAATTCTCACCAAAATGCTTTTGTACGCTTGTAAACAATATAATGGGCTGTCACTAAAATAATTGTAATAGCTGTCGGACGAGGGACTTAGAAATGACAGCATTCTGAAGTTGGTTGCAGTTTTTCATCTCACCCTGTAGCTTGTGAACATTCATAAAGTATCAAAGAATTTCTGCAAAAAATATTTTTAAAATATTTTAAATACTTTTTTAATTAAAACTTTTAGTTCAAAAATGTTTTGACAGTTCAATGTACCACCAGCTGTGTTGGTGCGGCTACCTATGTAATTTTATATATCTTTAACACCAATAACTTACCAATCACAGTAGTTTTAACATATGATTTTCATAGTCATATTAATTGTAAACGGATAAAGATCTGCATGTAACGTTAGCTAGCAAGACTTTTTGAGGTAATATGACATTAATATTGTAAATCTTTATCCGGCTTAACCTGACAATGGGCCAGTCACAATAAGTGACCACTGAAAACGCTACGGTTAACACGGGTAAAGATTTTATTTAAACACGCCTTACTTTAAATAAATCATGATATATCAAGTATTGGGTTTCTGCAAATTTTTACTTTTTTACAAGTGTAGAACAGAAATTATTTTTTTTTAATTTTTTCATAATTTTAACTATTTTCGCTATTTACAGCTATTCCTCGCGTTCCCTTCTTTGGCAGTTATTTGTTCATGTTAATGGTGAATTCCCGCATGCTACACAAAGCTGTTTCACAATTTGCAAAATGGTTGAAAACGGATATAATTGGTCTGTTCATGGGTAATTTTCCCTTTGTTGTTGTCCACAATCCTGATGCTGTACGTGAAGTATTAAATCGGCCTGAATTCGATGGCCGTCCATCGTCGTTTATTGCCGAAATACGAGAGCCCAATAGGAAAATTTCTGGTAAGTAAATACACGTATATCAACAAATCACATACTACCGGCTCCAAACTAAGCTAGCGTTTACATGGGACAAATTATTGTTTCGATTGGAAACTTTAAAGACACATGAATAAAGTTTAATTGTACTGTAAAACAAAAGAGCAGGATAAACAGTTGAATTTAAACATAAAATATAAGTTTTTCTTTACTGAAAGTACCACTGTTTTTACAATTTTCGGGACATCTACGTCATGGAGACAAATTTTAGTATTTTGACAATGAGTGTATGAACTTAATTGCTATGTCACTAAATATGGGAATTAATAGGAAAAGTGCTGCCATTATATAAGATTCATTGAAACAATGCTTTTTTTTTCCTTTTTTTAAACAGGAATTTTCTTCATAGATGGTCCCGAATGGGAGGAGCAAAGACGTTTCATTCTCCGCTATTTAAGAGATTTTGGGTTTGGGCGACGTTCCGATCAATTAGAAGCCGTGATGCAAGAAGAATTAACTGACATGTTAAGTTTAATACGCAATGGACCCAAATATGAACACGAGAAGCAATTTGTCAGAGAAGGCGGCTATCGTATCCTACTATCCTATTTCTTTAATCCCTTCTCAGCCAACAGTATCTATCAGTGCGTTTTCAACGAACGAATTCCAAGAGCTGAACAAGCGGATATGTGGAAATTGATCCTTATGCTTGTTCAATTCCAACGCACCGGTGATGATTATGGTAAAGTTTTAGGTATTATGCCTTGGATCCGACACATATTCCCCAACTGGAGTTCATATAATAAATTAATGGAATCGAATCGTTATGTTTACAATTTCTATGAGAAAATGATAAATCACTACATTGAGACGTATGATGAATCGGCTGATCGCAACTTTGTCGATTTGTATATCAAAGAAATGAAAAAGGCCGAGGAAGAGGGTAAAGGCGATACAACATCTTTTAAACACAATCAACTTGTTATGGCAATGATCGATTTTACATTCCCCGCCATCACCAATATGGGTACAACAATGGCATTTTTAATCCAATATCTGTTGCATTATCCGGAGGTTCAGAAGAAAATCCAAAATGAAATTGACAATGTTGTCGGCTCAGGTCGTTTGCCAACATTAGATGATCGTAAAGATTTATCTTACACCGAAGCATGTATAAGAGAAATTATGCGAATTGAGACGCTGGTTCCTTCGAATGTTGCACATCGGGCAAAAGTAGATACAGAACTAATGGGATATCATTTGCCAAAGGTAAGGAAATTATATTAATGTAGTAATGATATTCTTTGAAACTAATATTAAACAAGTTTATCTGTCATAATACCAACTTATTATAAATGTTTTTTTTTTTTTCAGGATACAATAGTCTTGACTAGCTTAAAGTCCGTTAATAATGATGAAACTATATGGGGTGATCCGAAGAATTTCCGACCTGAAAGATTTTTAGATGACAATGGAAAGTTGTGCCTAAAGAAAGACGTTTCGCTACCATTTGCTGCTGGTAAACATAAAGATAAATTGGGTCTCAAAAACGCTGTAATAAAACCCTTATACCTTTTCCAGGCAAACGTCTGTGCGCTGGTGAAACATTTGCTCGCAACATGTTATTCCTGATGACCACAACCATGTTACAAAATTTCAACTTTGTATTGGGTCCAAATGACAAATTACCCGATATGAGTGTACGTCTGAGTGGTTTGACTTCGGCTCCCATGGACTATTGGGTGCAATTAGAAGACAGAATGTAACACCAAAAAAAAAAAAAAAAAAAGAGAACAGAGAACAGAGACAAGCATTTATAGTTTAAGATGTGTATTATATTAGGTTAGAATGAATTTTCAGATCGTGTTGCGATTTTGAACAATTGGTTGTCATTATATGTATGGCTTTAATTTTTTACATTGCTTTTAATAAAAATGGATTTTTTTTAAATTATTGTGTTTTTTTCTTTATTCCCGAACCCATAAATATGTTATTTTTGCGATTTAACCACTGAACAATTTAGACTGAACACATGCAAACAAAAGCAGAAAAGATAATTAAAAGAGCTTTGCAGCCCATTTACACGTTGATTAAATGCATTATCTCGATCCACGTGCTTTATTATACCAAATTTACAATGATTTATTATATTTATTCAACAAATGAAACTATTGGTGTGTCTGTTTACTTTTCCTCCAGAAATTGTTCAGTAGCTTCTTTCAAATGCTTGGTTCTAGAACATGCTAGAACATACTAGTTTTGCGAGATTTTTTCGATATCATAACGGGAAAATCGGTTATCGTATTAAAACTTTTAGATGCTTGCAGTTCTGGAACAGACCAAGAGAGAGTAAATGGGCAAAAACAAAGGAGCGTAGAGTGAGCAAGTATAAATTATGGACGAAACGAAATCGAACTAAGCCAACCTGACGCTCTTTTGCTCTTTTGTGGACATGCCAGCCGATGACTTAATCCAATAAAACAGCTCTTTATGTACTAGCACCTTAAATGCGTACATAAGCAGCTTGAAGTCTTCGCATGGCATATTATGTGACATATATCCTGCCGTCATTTTGTATTTATAATTTAACACTAATATTCCTAGCTATGAGACCAAATTGCTTATGTACCCACACCTTTATGATTTCAAAACAAAACAATTTGTGTGCCATCAACAGAAATGAAACATGAAAAAATTAAAAATGAATCAAGAAAACAAAGCTATTACGCTTGCGATTCGCAATATAAAGTTCTTTTTAAAACGTTTGTCCAAATGTAAATGACCGAAAGGAGAAGGAGAAGAGTTGCAAGTTATTGCAAGAAGATATTTGTCCAGCAAGAATTTGCAAACTCTCAGTGAAGGACATGTCAATATTTCTCTCTCAAATTGCTCACTTTTGCAGAACTTTTGGGTTAACAGACGTCTTCCAGTAACAATTTTTAAAAATTTTTTGGTAATCAGACACAACTTATTCTAATCTCTACCGCAATAGTCAACTGTGTTCGCATATCGTTCATTTAAATTTTAAAATAGCTGCAAATTTGAGAAAACATAGAAGGCTTTTTTGACAAGCTTAAAGGTGGGAATACATAAAGCGCTTATTAGGCTGATTTACGTCATCGCCTGTCTTCTTCGTAGAGGAACAAAGGAGTTTTAGGTTGACTAAATTCGATTTTGGCCCTTGGCTCATTGTTCACTTCCAAAGAAGCCAGCCAAATAAGCGCTTTATGTATTCCCACCTTAAGTCATCGGTTGACTTCTTCGTAAAAGAACAAAGTTTCACCCTTTAGTATAAATAACGGACCGAAGCCATGACTTCAAGCTTCTTATGTACTTGCACCTTAAGATAGAAAATTGTATGTACAGGGCCGGGCCTTCGTATAGGCCCCATATATCAGTACATCCCTTCATTTGGTATTTTGACGATATTAGGTACAATACTCACCAAAACTATTTGAGATGTCGTATTTGTAGTTCGTAATGGATGCTAAAGCCTGTGACAGAAAATTGTTTATGCAGGTCCAGGTCTTCGTATAGCTCCGATATAACGGTACCTCACAATATTCGGTATTTTGATGATTTTCGCGTCATTATTCACCGGAGTAGTTTGAAATTACGTATTTAGAGTTCGTAATGCGAACTACAGTCTGTGACAGAAAATTGTCTGTGCAGGTTTATGTCTTCGCATAGGCCCCATATATCAGTACCTCCCTATATTCGGTATTTTGACGAGTTTAGGTACAATACTCACCGAAATTGTTTGAGATATCGTATTTGAAGTTCGTAATGGATGCTACAGCCTGTGACAGAAAATTGTCTTTGCAGGTCCATGTCTTCGTATAGCTCCGATATAACTGTACCGCCCTATATTCGGTATTTTGATGATTTTCGCGTCATTATTCACCGGAGTAGTTTCAAATTACGTATTTAGAGTTCGTAATGGGAACTACAGTCTGTGAGAGAAAATTGTCTCTGCAGGTCTAGGTCTTCGCATAGGGCCCATATATCAGTACCTCCCTATATTCGGTATTTTGTCGAGTTTAGGTTTAATACCCACCGAATTTGTTTGAGATGTCGTATTTGAAGTTCGTAATGGATGCTACAGCCTGTGACAGAAAATTGTCTATGCATATTCACCGTTTTTTTTTTTTTTGAATTTTCGAATTTGAATATGTTAGTGGCTTATGACAAACAAAGCCTATGTAGGTTCACGTCGTATAGACCCCAATAGAGCGGCTATATTCGTTATTTTTAAGATTTTAACAGATTTTATTTTTTGAAAATTTCAAAATTCGTTCCAAAAGGTGGAGGGCATTCAAAGTTCGGCCCGGCCGAACTTACTGCTTTTTAACTTGTTGGATTTTCAATGGTTCACCCCGAATGGAATATTGCGATATGTTCGGACGAGTGGCTCAGAAATGACAGCATTTTGAATTTGGTTGCTGGTTTTTCATCTCACCCTGTATCCGGTATTTTAAAGATTTTAACAGAAATTTTAGCGGATTTTATTTTTTTTTAATTTCCAAATTCGTTCCAAATGGTGGAGAGTATTCAAAGTTCGGCCCAGCCGAGCTTACTGCTTTTTTACTTGTTTTTATTCATTTGGTTACATTGTGATTATATAATATTTTCTAAAATGGTATGATACTTTATGGTTGATTTTTCCGGAAATTAAATTTTATATGTTTTCACACAAAAAGAAAAAACAAACTTATGATTAAATTATATTTTTCCGATGAAAATAGGGCTCGCTGTTGTAGCACGTATGTACTTCACTCATGTATTTCACAACTGAAATGTCATCCATGTATCACACGATGTGTGCAACTTCTATATATGGAAATACATGTAAAAAACATATCGTCTGATAAAGCCTTTATCACTTGCAATTTTAAATCGATTATAATTATTAAATCAATAATCAAAACATACTTCTAAAGTACTTTTACAACAAATTTGTATCGTTGATGACTGTGATAGGTGACAAATCACAATAAATTTGACTAAGAAAAATATATGTTTAAGTTATTGTGATCAGTCAATTATTACGGTTAATCACTTCAAAATATATGTATGTAAACACGCTGTTATCCGTACTATAAAGAGAATTTGACGTTTTTCCAAAAAAGTATCCTAAAGTAAATGACAGTGACATTATAAAATTTTTTTCTGAGTTTTACATATTAAATAATAAATATGATATATGTTGCTGTGAGTTTGCTTTTATTGACATATATAGATTTTCGAAATCATTGAACCGACTGTATTTTTGTTATGTGTTCATGACCTCAATTCCACAGGAAAGCTAAATGTGCAAGCGTACTATATTCCATATTAAATTATAATATGTATAGATCGTTGTGTTGATAAGAGATGTATTCATCCCAATTTTTATTGTTTATGTCAATAATCTGTTTTGGCGAAATACAGCCACGAGTAAGTCAACAAACGTGTCTGTTTTCAACAAACAGAATCATTTAATATATTCACGTGATTATAATCGATAACAAGCTCTTTTGAAGACACACCATTGTCCACTCTGATCTCTATCTCTTTAAATATATTACTAATGTACTAATGAATATGACTCCTTATCATTGATAAGAACTATATAAAAGAGGCACGATTATAACCAAATAAATAAAACATGCTAAGTTTATATTCATATTTATCTTATCTTTAAACTTCATATAAGTAATCCTTTCCTCATATGATAAAATTATTGTAAAAAGCTTTTATTGTGTCCCCAATTATCCTTTGAATTTATTTGAAAAATCATTTTAATAATTCTATTTGTTCGACTTAATTTTACTGCGTTTTGATTATGATAGGAAAGGATTTATTTTGAGGCAAAAAAAGGCAAGTCATGCCCATAAACACATTTAAATTCACCGCTACAGTGGACAGGGAGATTAAATGTTTATGATGGGCATGACTTGCGTTTTTTCGGCCTCAAAATAATTCCTTGCCTATCCTAATCAAAACGCAATAAAATAAAAATTGACACAGGCAGCTGAAAAAGTTCCACGCTGTTATCAATTTGCTTTCAATAGAATTTTCCATTTCAATTTTTGTCTTCAGAATGTGGACTTAAACGTATGATAATCAATGGTGGTTATCAGTTTTGCAAAAGTACGCTTAAACTTGGACAAAAGCAAGCCAAAATATTGTTATCTGATGCATAATGAGACATTATCTGTAGGGAAGCCATGTGTTACGGCTTGTTGGCTGTGGGCCACAATAATTATTCGTATCGCATTGATCGATTGTATTATTTTATTTTTATATTGGCATGAAACTACTTTAGGCTATTATAAGAAGTTGGCGGTAGGAAATGTAGGTGTTCTATCTTTTAAATTCGCATATGCATGAAATATTTTAAATAATCTCGTTTTATGAAGTCTTGAAATAAATACAGATCGTTCACATAACTATATGATCATTCACAGTTTAAGTCAGATAGTGGTTGTTTTATGGGAATGTGTTTGCAGCATGGCGGAAGAACACAGGTAGTCGCATCGACACAGCTGACACAGGGACAATGAACTGTCAAACCGATTTTGATATTGAAAATCGTGAATGAAAATTATTTAAATTTGTTAAAATTGTTAAAAAATACATATCATTACAACCTCCGATTTGCGTCGTATAAGAAAACATGGTTTGCAGTAAACAAAATTGGGAATGGTAGAAATAGCATGACTCGCTTTTTTTTGGCTTCAAAATAAATAATAAAGTGGTATATATATTTTCAAGGATAATTATAAACACAATAAAAGTGTTTTACACACGATAATTATGAAATTTAACAATTAAAAAACTGCAACTGCAATACCCCCCACCAATTGGGACGAATGTGGCAATTCTCAAAAACTATAAAATCCATTAAAAATTCTCTTGAAATCTTAAAAATGCCGGATTTAGCTGTTATATTAGGGTCCTTACGACTA